TGTCACCTTGTTGCTGTGTCCCCTTGTTCTGTGTCTCCTTGTTGCTTGTCCCTGTGAGTGTTCCCTTGTTGTGTGTCCCCTTGTTGCTGTGTCCCCTTGTTGCTGTGTCCCCTTGTTGCTGTGTCCCCTTGTTGCTGTGTCCCCTTGTTGCTGTGTCCCCTTGTTGATGTGTCCCCTTGTTGCTTGTGTCCCCTTGTTGCTGTGTCCCCTTGTTGCTGTGTCCCCTTGTTGCTGTGTCCCCTTGTTGCTGTGTCCCCTTGTTGTGTGTCCCCATTTGCTGTGTCCCTTGTTGCTTTTGTCCCCGTGTTGCTGTGTCCCTTGTTGCTGTGTCCCCTTGTTGCTGTGTCCCCTTGTTGCTGTGTCCCCTTGTTGCTGTGTCCCCATGTTGCTGTGTCCCCTTGTTGCTGTGTCCCCTTGTTGCTGTGTCCCCATGTTGCTGTGTCACCTTGTTGCTGTGTCCCCGTGTTGCTGTGTCCCCGTGTTGCTGTGTCCCTTTGTTGATGTGTCCCCTTGTTGCTGTGTCCCCTTGTTGCTGTGTCCCCTTCTTGTTGTGTCACCTTGTTGCTGTGTCCCCTTGTTGCTGTGTCCCCTTGTTGCTGTGTCCCCTTGTTGCTGTGTCCCCGTGTTGCTGTGTCCCTTTGTTGATGTGTCCCCTTGTTGTTGTGTCCCCTTGTTGCTGTGTCCCCGTGTTGCTGTGTCCCTTTGTTGCTGTGTCCCCTTGTTGCTGTGTCCCCTTGCTTTTGTGTCCCCTTGTTGCTGTGTCTCCTTGTTGTGTCCCCTTGTTGCTGTGTCCCCTTGTTGCTGTTTCCCCTTGTTGCTGTGTCCCTTTGTTGTTGTGTCCCCTTGTTGCTGTGTCCCCTTCTTGTTGTGACCCCTTGTTGCTGTGTCCCCTTGTTGTAGTGTCCCCTTGTTGCTGTGTCCCCTTCTTGTTGTGTCACCTTGTTGCTGTCTCCCCTTGTTGCTGTGTCCCCTTGTTGCTGTGTCCCTTTGTTGCTGTGTCCCCTTGTTGTTGTGTCCCCTTGTTGCTGTGTCCCTTTGTTGCTGTGTCCCCTTCTTGTTGTGTCCCCTTGTTGCTGTGTCCCCTTGTTGCTGTGTCCCTTTGTTGCTGTGTCCCCGTGTTGCTGTGTCCCTTTGTTGCTGTGTCCTCTTCTTGTTGTGTCACCTTGTTGCTGTGTCCCTTGTTGCTGTGTCCCCTTGTTGCTGTGTCCTCTTGTTGCTGTGACCCCTTATTATTGTGTCCCCTTCTTGCTGTGTCCCCTTCTTGCTGTGTCCCCTTCTTGCTGTGTTCCCTTGTTGCTGTGTCCCCTTGTTGCTGTGTCCCCTTGTTGCTGTGTCCCCTTGTTGCTGTGACCCCTTATTGTTGTGTCCCCTTGTTGATGTGTCCCCTTCTTGCTGTGTCCCCTTCTTGCTGTGTCCCCTTCTTGCTGTGTCCCCTTCTTGCTGTGTCCCCTTCTTGCTGTGTCCCCTTCTTGTTGTGTCCCCTTCTTGCTGTGTCCCCTTCTTGCTGTGTCCCCTTCTTGCTGTGACCCCTTATTGTTTTGTCCCCTTGTTGCTGTGTCCCCTTGTTGCTGTGTCCCCTTGTTGCTGTGTCCCCTTGTTGCTGTGTCCCCTTGTTGCTGTGTCCCCTTGTTGCTGTGTCCCCTTGTTGTTGTGTCCCCTTCTTGCTGTGTCCCCTTCTTGCTGTGTCCCCTTCTTGCTGTGACCCCTTATTGTTGTCCCCTTGTTGCTGTGTCCCCTTCTTGCTGTGTCCCCTTCTTGCTGTGTCCCCTTCTTGCTGTGTCCCCTTCTTGCTGTGTCCCCTTCTTTCTGTGTCCCCTTCTTGCTGTGTCCCCTTCTTGCTGTGACCCCTTATTGGTGTGTCCCCTTGTTGATGTGTCCCCTTGTTGCTGTGACCCCTTATTGTTGTGTCCCCTTGTTGCTGTGACCCCTTATTGTTGTGTCCCGTCTCTGAAACATTCTGTCCCTGTCCACCTTGTCAATTCCTCTCAGTATTTTGTACCTGGGTGTTAGTAGAGTGTTGTAGGTGGCATCCTGGGCAGGGCGAGACGTATGGCCAAGTCACCTTACTCAAAGTTCCACAGAAAGTAGGTATATTGACGATTGCGTATGATGTTGTCACTATCCATCTATCTATCTATCTATCTATCTATCTATCTATCTATCTATCTGTCTATCTATCTGGGTGAATATTTACCCAGGAGACAGGAACTGACCTTCCGGTCAAGAGGTGGACCAACCTAATTTAACCATACAAACAGGAAGTAATATTTGCTGACGGTTGTTAATTTCCTCGTAAGGGATCCTCTGATTTGATCGCCTCTCTCATCTTCTTCTTCGTCTTCTTCTTCGTCTTCTTCGTCTTCTTCTTCGTCTTCTTCTTCGTCTTCTTCTTCGTCTTCTTCTTCGTTTTCTTCGTCGTCTTCTTCGTCTTCTTCTTCGTCGTCTTCTTCGTCTTCTTCTTCGTCTTCTTCTTCGTCTTCTTCGTCTTCTTCGTCTTCTTCATCGTCTTCTTCGTCTTCTTCGTCTTCTTCTTCGTCTTCTTCTTCGTCTTCTTCGTCTTCTTCGTCTTCTTCGTCTTCTTCTTCGTCTTCTTCTTCGTCGTCTTCTTCGTCTTCCTATCTGCAGTAACATAAAATCTGTCCTTGTCATCACCACTGAGACAAAGTTCGGGAAAGGCCTATGTAACATTGTCCCTAGGCCGCCCACACCTGCAAATAGTCACGTGAATCTTGTCAAGATACATGACACAAGCACTTGTAAGTTTGAAGCCGATCGGATAATTATTATTGTTATTAAAGACTCACCGGTATTCTCCCGGCCCGGGCCTTTTCCAAGTGGTGGCCCGGCCTTGGCTCCCTCTTTAGGGAGTGTCTGAGACCTAAGTCTCCCATGGGAGGAGGTACAAGCACCTCCTCATCTTTGGGACCAACTGTCCCCAGGCCTAGCCACAAGCTAGGCCTCTCTGGTCTGCCATCCCCGCCCCCAAGGGGGCTAATGGGAATGACAGTCTTATGAGCTAAAGGCTCAGGCTCAGGCACCTACCCTACCCTAGAAGGGTTAAGCATGGTATCGATGGATCGGATATTTTTTTTTTTTTTATTCGCCGGTATTCTCCCGGCCCGGGTCTTTTCCAAGTAGTGGTGACCCGGCCTTGGCTCCCTATCTGGGGAGTATCTCGAGACTTAAGTCTCCCATGGGAGGAGGTACAAGTACCTTAAGTCTCCCATGGGAGGAGGTACAAGTACCTTAAGTCTCCCATGGGAGGAGGTACAAGTACCATAAGTCTCCCATGGGAGGAGGTACAAGTACCATAAGTCTCCCATGGGAGGAGGTACAAGTACCTTAAGTCTCCCATGGGAGGAGGTACAAGTACCTTAAGTCTCCCATGGGAAGAGGTACAAGTACCTTAAGTCTCCCATGGGAAGAGGTACAAGTACCTTAAGTCTCCCATGGGAAGAGGTACAAGTACCTTAAGTCTCCCATGGGAAGAGGTACAAGTACCTTAAGTCTCCCATGGGAAGAGGTACAAGTACCATAAGTCTCCCATGGGAGGAGGTACGGACAAAAAAAAAATAAAAAAAATAAAGAGATTGAACGAGAAAGTTATGGAAATAGATTATCTCGCCTCGTTAAACTTAACCCCAAAAAATCACCGGATTTTTATTTTTTTTCCAGTTTATTTTTGACTTTTTACAATATAACGAA